CTTCTACGCCTCACAATTGTGTTTTTCATCTGCGTTTGTGTTGTCGTTGGGGGCACAAGACGCAGAGCTGTTGGACGGGACTAGAGCATGTACTGACGTGAGAGGGATCAGGTTCCTAGGGCCACATGATCCCTAAGGCCCCGAAATCCTCTTAGACTGGCATTTCTGAAGGGGAGTTTCTCACATGCACCACGCCAACTAAGGGCTGTTTGGGGCCTTAGGGATCAGATGGCCCTCGGAACTGTACCCAAACCCCAGTGGGTGCACCGACCACTGCCCGGAGCTCTGCATCTTGTGACCCCAATGAGAACGCAAAGGCAGACGAAGACCAATCTGTGAGTTCCAGTAGAGATCCGAGTCCCCTCATGCGATAGGGTGGTATGAGACTGTGACGTAGATGTACTGTCAGCCAGGGAAGTTGATGATGGCTGGGCTGAGACCTCAGTCACTCGTTTGCTATGCCGGGTTTCGTTCCCGTCAAGACACAATATTAGACAGGGTCGGTGGGCACAAACTGTCTGACAATATCAAGTAACGTCCCTGAGATACAGGAACTCAAACATGTCACCTGATTCGGCAAGCAACAGACGGCCAGAAAGGCATAAAGAAAATGTTGTCTCTTGTTCTCCTCTCAAAATTAGTTCTGCTCTCATCCGCAGTAGACCAGGCACTGCTGCCCTACGGGCTGGGAGAGGAGATGCTTTGGCATTTTGCAACACCTTTTCGCACCACGTCACGTCAGTCCTTCGTCTAGCCATAGCAATACACCACTTTCTGTAAACCACATATAGTGCAGTTATTAAGTGCTTACTCAATAAGTATCAATATGCACTCACATTCGTTTCCATTGTCCTGCCAATCCTCACTCCTGCGCATCGACCACGACAGTGTTGCCGTGACTGCAGTGAATATTCTTTACATGTATGGCACACTGAAGAACGAACATGAAAAAAGAAGGCGCGCAGCTTCAGTTACGGAGCTGCTGCAGCTTATGCCTCAGTGCAGCTACGGGCGCACTACATGACACGCAGTCAGCATGACCTGCATGATATAATCATTTTGACTTTCCTAAAACCAGCGACTCCGTTTTATTGTAGCTCAAGAGTCACTGTAGAGTCAAGTTCCACGCGGAGGAGCCCATACTTCACCTACACGGTGACGAAAAAGGAAGTTTCTTCTTCCGCAGTGCTGCAGCAATGGAGACTTCGTTCTTGTCTTTTAATAAGATTAACAACAAAGCAAGTGCGTAACAAGTGCGTAATCGGCGCATAGAAACAGCTATCAACGGTACAACCACCTAGTCACAAGCAAGCGACGAAGCCAAAAGGAGAGGCCGACCGCAGCAACTTATCCAAGGCGCGAGGCTGCCAACAGCGTCACGATTTTCGATAGGGCCTGCCTCAATACTCAACATCCCGCTAAGTGAAGCCAAGGCAGGAAGCTTCACGTAAAGTAAATGGAGGCCTTCAGCCAATCAACCGTCCTTTCTGCTTTACGTCAGCGCTGTGCTGTCATCAAATGAGTTGTGACAAACACTATACCAGAAATGCGATCTCCTGAAACAGCATAAGTATGCCAAATGCACTGTACGCACCATGGATTCACCGTTTTCGGCACTCTTACATACTCTCACTGCAGAACAGTAGGCGAGTGGCTGGTGGCCCTAGCGTCGGAGTAGCTCACGTTAAGATTGAATGTGTTTTAACGTAAAGACTGATATCACTAGCTCTGACCTGATTTCGAAGATCGTCGCAATCCAAGCTTTTATATGCTCAGTATAGCTGATTTCTTGAACTAGTGGGTCGACCTTTGCTTCTGCAACAAACCCTGTGACTTCGGCCTGGGTCAGTCTACAGCTCATTACTATGTCCGCATATCGTCGTTCCGCCGCCAAAGCAGCACCCCCGCTTAACGAACTCACAGAATTCAAAGGCAGTGGGGCGCCTGACTCAGTTGATGCAGAGCTAGTCCCGTTTCGCGCTGACCAATAGTGCATAACTCCTACAAAAACCTGAGCTGGCACTGAGCCTGCAGTACATTCTCACACATGTAAAGTGGGAACAGTAGCCGCTGAAGATAAAAATAAGGCAATCCGCCTTGGTCCGTAGGAGCCGTACCCTTCCGTCGGTCGTCAAGCACCGTGAATAGGTGCACAAGCGTTTTCTCTACGCTCTCACGGTCTGGAGACTCCCCCTGAAGTGCACACCGCAGAGCGCCGGTTTTCTAGGCAAATGCGTATGTGCATTCAGTTAATTATCAGAAGCTTCTATCACCATGTTTCACTTTTCACCTGGTCTCCGTCGTCAGGCGTAAACTGCAGCTGAGCGTGCGAAACAGGTTTTAGCTTGCTGCGACGGCGCGCTGCAAGGCTCGCTCGTTGTTTCTGCTTAGAATCTCGGACTGAAAGTCCACGCAGCTCCTCAAATTCTGCTTGCGCCTCGGCGTCAGCCACCATCTTGCTAATCTGGTCAGCTGCACAAAAAGGAGCGCCGCCCAAACCATCTTATTTCCTCCATCGACTGGAGAAACTCTTGACGAGATGTGATTTTGTAGCTGATTGCCCCTGGTATATAAATACCCTTGAGATGCTATTTGCAATGAAAAAAAGTTGGAGCATACCTGTATCCATCAAGAAGTCACTGTCAAACAGGGGTGGCAAAACGCGTTGAACAACCTGCAGTAAAAAATTCACACAACAGATGGCTGCCCACATGCGAGTTGAGGCCATCAAAGGGCATTGAGCATCTATATAACGGCCTTTAGAATATGTCCGTGGAGTAAAACGCATAACGCAAGTGTTTGCAAGTGCTTCTGACCATAACAAATTCTTCCCAGACAGCTTGGCCTTGACGATTCATAGAAGACAAACAGAGAAGCACCTGCAGCAGCCCATTGCGGTTGAAAACATTCCATGAAATACTTTCATGGGAGTGTGCGACTTCTACGTAAGCTTACAACGTAACCAAAGTGTTACTACCGAGAGGAGCGTGCGTAGATGCAAATGGCGGACATGAATGTGCATTTTGGATAGGCACAACCCGCTGTTGTCGAGAACCTCTCTCAGTGTCCAAACAGGCACAAGCCCAACAGGCGTAATCCCCATCTGCAGCAAAATCGCATAATAGGACTCTCCTCTTTTCTTGTAGGCGAAAGTAGAGCTGACTTGCATATATCTGCTTAATACCCCGAACTACACTTGACTGCCAGTTGGGGGCGCCGGTTAGCTCGTAGCACTGCTTGTAAAAGATAAAAAAAATTCTGAAGACATCAGAAAAGACATATATTGGTAAGTGGTGCAGCTTCCTCGAGAATTGATCCAAAAAACCTCAACATTTGTATTCTACAATACATTGCTAGCATCCCTAGCAGATAATATTAAAATCCATAGGAGCACTGGTATTTATGCAACACAGGATCTACATTAGCGGATAGATGCGCAGTACACACAAGGATTCAGCATGGAATTTTATGGCTTCTCACACTTCTCTTGCAGTCCTAGTGAGCTCGGCTTCTATCGCATCAGGGTCGACTTCAAGAACGGCGTTGTTAATACTTTCTTTCCTATGTCGCAGAATATTTTAACACTAGCGGCAGTCCTCAAGAATGAGAGCAACTCCGTTGTTTTGAGTAGGGCATCGTCTCCTGATATTTCACGCACCGGAGGATCTGAAGGAGGGTTGGTACGGCTTCGTATTCCACTTCTCCCAAGTCATTTCCTGGAATTGTTTGCATGACGAAAGCCATGTCTTGCCTAGAATATCTTGATCGGTTTTTTAGAACAAGAGAAAAGATAAACCATAGCTCTATTTATTAACCGTAGAGCAGCCGTCTGCAGAGCAGACTCAGCGAGCTAGGTGAAACTCGTGACTATTTTTCTTGGCAGAACACTGGGAAGCTCGTACTTGTCAGTGCGCTGCATAGCCGCATACAGCTCTTGTCGTTTCAGTAAACCTGGAAAATGAAGAGTACACAAATGTATGAGCAAGACAGTAAGAGAGTTGGCTGGAACTAGGAGAACAACTCCAGTTTCATCGCTAACTGATAAAAGCTGATGTTAGCACCTGTTGAGGTCACGTGATTTCCCATCCCTTCAATCAGCTCTCGAGTCATTCTGCGCCAGATGCACACATATAAAGTGGAAGCAGAAGAATGCTTTTGAAGCGCCTGCTTGCTATATTGTTGTTAACCACTGTGTGTTCGGCCAAGCCCATACCTAAATGTCTCATCTAACTCCTCACGAAACAGGAGCATCATCGCATCTGCTGTTGCTTTCCGCTTCACGCTGCTGCAGAGACTTCACATTACCCAAAATAATGCTCAGTAAGATGCGGCGAGAACGATACCCTTCCTTATTTTGCTCATAGAGAAGGTTTGAGGGCTTGAGGCCTGACCGTTGTCGTGCTTTCTCCCTTCTGCTCCTCAACATGTCAAGTAGTTTGGGTATTTTCTAGCGGACACATGAAGACATAGAAATAAAAAGCATGTGCACTAGGCGCAGTCCAAAAGAAGGAGCACTGGGACTTGGCGATACAGTATTTGCAGTGTTTGCTCTTCTAGTAGAGAGACGCAGTAGACAATACTCATATATGGGCCGTTCGGCGCCCCGCTAGACGATGGAAAAAACTAACCTCCAGAAACGGCGCATATTCAATCCAGCCCTCAGAATCTTCTTGAGCGCCGGCAAGAAGTTGGACAAATTCCCACCTTGTGAGGCCCAACGGACAAGCAAAAAGTAACGCTGCAACCTCACGATGCTGTAGGCGGCCTGAAAATGTGGCATACGAACTTAAAGGAGAGTCACCACAGATTCGTCTCGTCTTAATCCTCAGCGGAACCTATTCAAGGAAACACTCAAGCTCTTCGGCGGATAGATTACTCTCGTTTGCTTGCCTGCATTCTCTTCATCCGCAGCACTGAAAACCTTTTCTAAGAGCTGCCTGAGCATCCCATCTGTCAACTGCTGTTCGAAGCTCATACGAGGGGTCAACACTTTCTGCGGGTCTTGAGCCTCTTCGAGTTGCATGAGACTTTTCTGGGAACGCTCCCACTTGGCCACGCTTCTACGTTGTAGTATAGCATGCTGGTGTTCCTTCTCCTGTTCCATCAAGACGGTCTTTTGCTCGAGCAGCAACATGTTGACTTGCTGAAGGTGCGCATCCATGCGGGTCTGCTCGAAGCTGCAAACATTCGTCAACTTTCAACTGTGGTGAAATTGCCGTCACGGGGGTAACGGCATATACGTGCTCGCCTGTGGGTAAATGCCATTTGGGTAAAAGCCAAATTCCCTTACGGTGTCTGCAGCATCACCAAACGCCTGACCTCTCGTTTGTTTTTCAAAATCCTGTAGATACACGCACTATTCTTCGTTATGTTTCGATTTCCTAGTTTGGTGACCAAGGCAAGAAAACATATGCCGATTTTAATGAAATCTTGCAGCTCAACCACTTGTTTGGTCGAGCTGCCATATCCAGCAGCGCGTATTGAGCTCGTTTTGCACCTGTCAAGCCAGAACTCGAACTTCGACGGTAGTAGTGTCCTGGAAAGTGTGTGAATAAGTTGTTCGCCTTCAAAGCGGAAGGAAACCAGCCCTTCGGCGTCGTTTCTGTGCGCTTGCACACAGCTTGCACACCAGGCCAACAAACTGATTGTTCTGGTTATTGATCCTTGGCGAGAATACAGCGTCAGTCTTTTAGCTCATAATGGTAGTGCTAGTCTGGGTTGTAAATCGGCGCCAACGTGGTATTATGCGCTGGATGTTGCTCGTGTACTACAAAGCATTGTATTGCGTAGTTTTACGTCTGTTGTGCGCTCCCATTTTCCTGCAACTTGTCGATTAACCTAGGCGATAACGCGAAGTGAACAGTGGCTTCCACGTCTGCTACAGGCTTTTCAGGCGTGAGTTTGCAGAATGTCACGTCAAACCTGAGTCACACACCTGAATTGCAAAACATTTGTACGATGATTATCTTCCTTATAACTCGACCCAAAATTATCACAGAACATTGCAACACTTTATGACGAGCGTCAAGGCAGTCGGGCAAATTGATCCGCCAGCAGCTAAACTTTATCTGCTCTACAGGCTAAATGAGGGCATCAAAGCAACAGGACGCTGGTTGTTCTTGAGGCATCTTCGTCAGTACAAAAAATGAATAATTCTAGCCCTTACAGGTGGTTCCCTGTACGCGATTCAACGCCGCGATACTCCGTACGATGAAGATAGCTGAAAAGGAAAAGACTGACAACAGTACTCACACGCTGTAGCACTAGGAGGTTTAAGTACGAGCTTGAGGGATAGGCAATATATCTGACAGAATTCGTCTCGACGGGGTACGTCAATTCACAACCGCTATATAGTGCAGGCGTAGCTCCACAACTATTTCCGAACGATGCGCGTTTGTAGGTGTTCGCGCATCCTTCATCAACAGTACATGAAGTAGTGGCAGTTTTGATGCCTCTCTCCAGATGGTTTGCTATTCTCTTCTCACGTGAATGAAGATCTACCTTCTGGTAATGCTTATAATAACCCTTTATTACCGTATCAATGCTTCGCATGTTAATGGCTAGCAGATTGCCGTCACTCACTTGGCACTCCAAGGAGTTACCAGCGAGTGGATGTAATGAGTACCGCAATCAGCGGCACTCCCCAATAGGCGGCTGCTTTCCATGATTTAACGTGAGCAGATAGGTCAGCTGCAAGGCCTTTCTAGCATCTAAAGAGTGCTGGCACCGTGAAGCTTGAACACTCCCACCCAGCGGGATGGCATTCTCGCTCAGGTCTTCCACTGGCCGGAAGCCTGCTGGAGCGCACGCCCAACAACGGGAATGCAGCATTAGGATACCAAATAAGCATTAATGAATAATGTGATTGACGAGTAAGGGTTCAGTTAGCCACATGCTGTTTCGTCTAGCAAAATCCAGGCATCCTATTGGAACGGTATTGCTTTGTTTACCATCAAGGAATCAAGTTCTGTTATATTTTTGGGCGGAAGGCGTTATCTGGCTTCTCCAACGGTCGACAGACGGGCGGCTGCTTCAGCATTGATATACGAAGAAACAACTCTCCACGTCGTGAACTAATCTTGTTTTTGCGCTAAATTCTGCAGAAAAAGGCCAAACCACCTTGGTGTAGGAGAGCAGCTGCTTTGTTGTTGGCGTCTTTCTGCTCTAGAAAACTGTTCAAACACTAGCTAGTATGTGTATACGCCAGAGAGGCAACCGGATGCTTGGCTATTATTGGGTACATCTCCGTAAATCATTGACTACAGCTCATTTTGCCCATGTTTATGGACTTCGCAGGAGCAAACGTTTTTTTATAGATGTTTTGAAAGCATCATATAAGGTTTCACACGAAGAAATTCTTGCATCTCAGAAGTGAGAAGGATGATGTTCGTGGACCCTGGTTTCGTAGCTTTTGTTCCTGCTAATATGGCAGTCCCAAACTCCAACAGTGCTCCAGTCATGTTAGTCAAGAGTAAACAGCAACCGTATCGGACACGGAGGCTACTGAGAGACAAGAAAGGCACAAGTGAGTCCACTTACACCGGCGTGGAAACACATTGCTCTGGCTCAGCTGCTGAAATTGCGCTTGGATTTTCCGAGGCGAACTTGGCTCTCCCAAACCGAATCATGAAAACATATGGAACTTTTAGTCAAGCGCTGTAACGTCTACTGATAGAAGGAGAGCATGATGTGAGTTGAGGACCCATGCTGTCGATCCGTCCCGCATGCATGCAAGACCAGCCCCAAATGGGAAATTTGAGTTCTTGGATATGCAGTCCATTGACTTTTTACGACTCGTTGACAGTGGGAACCTACTGACAGTACTTTATCTATGCGAGTTCGTTACTTGGTTCTTGCGATCATGAACGCTCCGGGCTCAACTCACCCTGATGCAACTTCTGCTATAGCACAACTCCACATGCATGCACAAACAAGCCCTATAGCTAAATGGACTAACTCTCGAGAAGATCCTTGAGCATTTGCTTGCCCCGCAGTGGCGAGCCCGCCCGTAAGTAAGAATACACAGCTTAACGTCATACAAACTGCGCTACAAACACCATGAGGCTGAGGCTCAAGACTGGCATGGGAGACTGGTAAGCAGAAGCTAGCTCAGTAACGGAGGATGGCAAAAGCCACGCTTTGTTACGTGGGTACGGGCACCCCACCCTACAAAACAAAATAGGCAGATGCCCGTGCGCAGTCTTATAACGTGATTGAAGCGGAGTAAAGTACCAACCATAGGGGGAGCCCAACCAAAAAGATGCAAGCGAATGAGGAGACGGTCGTCGAGCATACATAAATAAAGAAGGCAGAAGAGCATGGAAACATCAGGGCAGGGGAGCATATTCAGTCGTCACAAAGCAACTGCTTGCAGAGATTGTAGACCGTGGATTTAATCTGTGCTATTCTCGATCAAACTTGAGCTCTTCGCCTCTTGTTCAAGGAGAACACATAGCAGCTCCATATGAATGGTCCCGTAGAAGCCATTTGCAGCAACCCACTCGGGTTTCCGGCTCCAAATCCATTCCGGTTGCGGGCCATATCGCTATCCACAATTATTTTGCTGTTCCACTGTCCGCATCTTTACTTGTATATACTAGATCTAACTCTCCTCTGGCTGGTGTTTCCCGTAATATGCTTGTTGCCTTTACGTCGGAGGGTGTTGAGGAAATTCCGATGATATGCTAGTCCATTCTAGAAAACAGTTGTTTGCTGCTCAGTCATATGCCTAATCATAAGGTAAATTCAACATGTAAGCCGACACGTTGAGTCGATAACAAGAAACACAAGCTCTGGCCGGCAGGCAGCAAACCTATTGAACTGCTCGCCCTACTGCACGCCTCACGGGCAGTGTGAAGCTACAAAGGCCGGGTTGCGTAGGTTCAAAATGAATGGTAAGCATCTGTTGGGGCAGGCTCTTCACTGAAGTTCCTGTATCGTCTTCGAACACTGCTGAGGGACTGAAAGCTGTGTCTGGAAAGCTTCCGGCGCAGAATAACAACGCTGGTTGCCAATAGGCAAGTCCAACATCTGATCGGCCAGCGGTCTTCGGCCGTCGACAGGAACAGTTAGAGTTTGTCGGGAGTGCATTTTTGTGTGAGCCACAACTATTGCACCACATCAGTGTCTCCTCTGCCTGCTCCGTTCAAATGCCAGCCTTTTAGCGGCTCTCAGTTGTCGAGTGTTATGCAAGCAGTTTAGCGGTTCATGAGTTTGCTTCAAAGGTGATAACAAACGTTGGATACCATCGTACGGGCAGTTATACGTAGTTAAGCAATTTCCTTTGTTGCAAAGGAACCCAATCAGGGAGAAAACTTGTCAATTTCACTTGTACTACCCACAAAAACATAAATAGTGTATGAAACGCAGTGAAGTCCATACTTCTAAACCTTTCCAAACACGCGCTCAAGCCAAAATTATTATTATTGCTCCTTCCAGTCCCTAGTGTTGTGCTGCTTCAAGTGCTGACGGTCCGCACAGACAATGGCATAAATGCCCACGCCTAACCAATTGGGCATCGTAAGAGTGCGCCGGGAAGCACGGAAACCACAAGTTGCTCGCTGTTTCAGCTTGTGAAGGCTTTACAGCCAGAGAAGGCCACCGAAGGAGCCAAACACCCTCCGTCCTGCAAAAAGTATATATATATATATATATATATATATATATATATATATATATATATATATATACATCATGACGGTGTACGTCACGAATTTCTGCCCACTAGCCGATGTAGTGTACGCGAGAACACCGTTGGTTGCTGGCCATTACCAGCAACCCCTGTTCATCCGCACTGGAGAACTTCCAGATACAGCCTGCAGCCGCTTGGGAATACATGCTGCTTCTTCCTGATGTATCATGTCACATTCTCGCAGTCTAGTAGACTACAAGAAAAAAGGTTGAGCGGCCGCTTGGACCAGATGCTGCCTAAAACATGTTCGCCTTCGCAGGCGCGGCGAGGGCCGCATGGCGGCATTCAGCCCCGAAATTTTTCTACGGCGGCGATCGGCCCTTCACGCATTCTTTCTGGGAGCAGCGTATTGATAATATCTTGCCCGTTCCGCGGTTGCATAATCACAGTTGGTAACGGAACTTTTGCAGAATTATTCGCAGAATCAATAAAATTTCATTGGTCTGTCAGTCCGAAAAGGGAGCGACTTCAGTCGGACACGGACTGACCGGGTCATAAATATATGTGTAAGGACTGGTGTAAGCAACGCAGCTGAACTGCTATGCATTAATCAGCTGCATACAGTTTCTGTATGCAGCTGATTAATAGTTTCTGTGTGGACTGGATCGCGTGTGGGCCCGATCAAATTCTTGCATGCTGTAGGCGCCAACACTGCGCTTCGAAGTCGTTGTATTTTTTGTTTCTCTTCTTGTTGGTTGCCCTCAATAAAGAGCGACGCTCAACTCTTGAACGTTGCAGAGGTAGCTTCCACCTAGTTTTGGCCCACACGTTGTGTTTTCGTGTCAGTTGCATGTGGACCAGCGCCAAAACAAACAAATATCAGCGCCACTCCTTTTTGCAGTTTACCCCTTCCTCCGCGTATTTAGTTTCGTGAGTTTGCTACGGTTGGCCCATCTGGCCCTTGCCGCTTTGCAGTTGTTCACCCGACATATTGTCTTACGCTGCCGCCTGATAAAGGCGTTTATTGCTTCTGTGAACGGAGGGACGGTTTGTCAGCAAAAGTTTGAAACACGTTTACTGCAGGTAGAAGCCAAGTGAGTGTTCCGCAATTGACTACGGTGCTTCTGCGTTCGGCTTTCCATCGAAAAGAGAGTTCCCAATGCATGCTTGCAGAGTTCCCTTTGCGGAAGTCAGTGGAGCATTGGCTGCTGCAACTTTGGACGGGATATCTTGTCGTCCAAACGCAAAGCGCAAGGGAATTAAGGCGAAAATGAGGGAAAACAAGTGCTCCCGAGTTTTGAAGTTTCCGTACTTGAATATCACTAGTGAGCCACTCATTATAATTCTACTTGCTTACTTGCACCTTTGCCTTTCTGGTTCTTAGCAGTGAGGTCCACAATTCCTAGTATCATGCCGGCCACTTGACGACTGGCTAGAAGGCAATCATCCATAGAAAACTGCCATTCCACTGACTCACAAGCTGCGTTCATAGAATTAAAAGGCGTTTTGCGGGATGCACTGAGACCTCAGTGCTTCACTTCCCTTATTGCCTTAGTATGAGGCTTCGAAGAGCACGAAACAAAGGAGATGAATCAAAGCTTTTTCAAGAATATGCTCTCTAAACACCCTCAATTTCTCTCCACCTGAACTTCACGTTCACCACAAGGTGCGTGCTGATTTGTTTTGGGGCACAGCGTTGGTGTCATTTGTTGACTAGGAAGAAACCTTGAACGATTATCTGCTTTACGCAATCCATATTCCGCTTAAAATGCGACTAAAGGGAGACAGACTCTTACCTACATTGCAGATGCTCACATCGTAGCTTCCTCCTGAGAATCCGTGGGGATCATAGGCGGTTGAAGGATTGGTGCACACTTGTATAATGCCTCCTCATTAGCACCACCTTTGTCATAAATGTTGCTGTCCGCAAGTGTATCGGAAAGACTGATTAATTTTGGAATGCTATATTCACAGAGATTCTGGAAGTAGTGCTCTAACGACGACTCCGCATTAACATCCCATGGAACCTGAGCTTCGTAGCACAGCCACGTGGCTCTACATAAAGCGTAGCTTTCCAGCATCTGCTCAAGGATGTCGATTCGGATAACGGTTCATAGATCCAGCCTACCTCAATGCCAAGTTGCACAAGTCTAGCGTTAATACTAGCTGCGCATCGCCTAGCCTGATCGACGTCCCCTAAAGTGCGCTTCAACATTTTGTATCTGCACGCATACTCCAGCATAGCACAGAGAAAGCATGTAAAGCGGAGCTGTCCTTGAGTCTTCAATGATGAAGTCCACGAGGCTTCGAGCTGGCTTCTGCTTGCAAACGTACCGCTCTGCATGATCGTAAAATGTTTTGTTCCAGGACTGCGACTGTGCATCCAGGGCCTGCAACAACCTTATCACGGTATATGGATACACTATGTATATTGAGATGCTAACGAAAGTTCTTTGCCAAGTTGGAGGGCATCTCAGCTACAAACCGTTGTTTTGGTTGAGCTGCATCAGTATGCTCTCATATTCCACGTTGCAATGCAGCTTAGCACCCAGCCGTATATTTCTGGTTTGCTGCCGCTACTGTTGTGGTTGCGAGGCGCTGCATGGTACAAGTTGCAGAGAGTGCTTGAGCATTACATCATAGAGCTTCCGTATATGGGAGCAATTCGTCAGATCCAGCTCTTCTACTGCACGTCGGACGGCTTCTTGATATTCTCTTCTAGAATTCTGCACTTTTCATACGCAAGCCACCATACATGCAAGCCACCAGTTACGCTAGACTGATTAAATTCTCGGCATTGCAGATGGAGTGAAAATGAGTTTGCTGATTCTCAAGGATTCGAACTAACGCTGAACTAATATAAGTCTTGTGCCTTCTTGTGCTCATCCTCGTTTGTTACCTCGAGTTTCTTTTCTGCTTCTTCCGCCAGGAGCTTTAGCTTTTGATTCTCTAAGTCTCGATTTAAAAATTTGTTGACGATTTCCATAACATCAGCCATTCCCTGGAGAAAGCTAAAATGGCAATTATGTCAAGTTTCTGCTGTTGTGCAGATTTATAAGTAAGCAACGCAGCTACACAACGAACCCGTGTAGAAGCTGTTCAAAGATCAAAAGTGCCTCATCCTGCGGCGTATCCTGCGAACACAAACTCTCACTGTTGCCTCTCGTATTTTCTGAAACGTGTCTTCCTTGTATTGCCACTTTTCCACATTCTCAACGCTTGTCTTCTGCAGGGAATTCGCGATCAATTTCTCAACGCAAAGCATCCTTCGCCATTTTCCGGAAGAAGCGGAAAGGGCGGCAGCAGCCGCGTCATTAATAATTGATTGCTGCCATTCAACTAGCCGCTGCCTGGAGGAGAGCGCAAATAACGGCTGTCTAAAACATTGGCACTTCCGTAATAGCTCTTTGGCTAACCGCGATCTCTCTCCACTTGCTGGGACTGGATAGCGGAGTTTGGGCTTCTACGAAATAGTTTGCAGGCGGAGTAGGTAAATCTGGATTGCGCTGATGTTCGCATTAAAACAACTATTCACAAACTCGAAGTTGGCGTACATTCATTATGCGCACTTGCCTTTTCTCTATTGCAGCTCTCTTATACTCAATAGCTTCGTCGATTTCTTTGAGACCTTGACTGCGTATGATTCTTTCTCCTTGGAGTTCCTATGAGGACAGAAGGATATTCGTCATCCTTGCCTGCTGCATCACCAGTTCGCGTTAGCGGCACTATATGCTGCAGCCTTCTTCATAGCTGCCTTAGGAAGACTAACCTGTTCCAATTGCTTCAGCTCAAAAACAGCTCTGCTTTTCTTTTTTTGTTGCTTCCTGGGCGTAGGCATATGAGCTTCCTGTAAATGCATGCTTGACTGAGATACTGGGCACGAACGTCAACATTGTGCCAAAAGCTGAAGCTTTCAGTGTGTTTAGCGTATGCGTGCTTACTCTAGAGCACCACGCTCTTCTTTTAGTTCAAGACCTAAGGACTTCAGTCTGCCCTGAAGCACCACGTTTTTTTGTCGAACCGCATCCTTCTCAAACTAGAAAAGCGCAGCACAAAAGGCAGTGATGGAGCTGTCGAACGTAGAATCAAACGAATGAGGAAGGCGCAATAACTTGCCGACGGTCAACATTTGAAGCGTGCATTCAAATGTTGACCGCCAGCAAGTTCTTGCTTGTAGCTGGCTTTCACCTTTTTATTCAGCAGTGCTAACGATTGAGCCGATTCATGGGATACCTTTGTCCTTTGAAGGATGTGCATGTAAACCTTCTTTGTGTAGCCAGCTTCTGCAACCTTTTTATTCAGCAATGAGAGCGATTGCGTCAATTCATCAGCACGCTGAGATACAACACTCAACGTGAATCTTCTGCTGCGCTGCAAACAGAGCACCGGAACCATTCCGGGTCATCTTCACCAGGTACAATTTGTCTTACTTGGTGTATGCGAGCCCTGTCGTTTGTGACTTGGTGCTCAGCAGAGTCTGCTTGCCGAATGCCTTCCTGAACAGTGACGCAAGCGGCAGATGGCATACAAGCACAACAGGGAAACTTAGGAATTGGCTTGCGGCGCACACGCTGATGTGCTGAAGGAACTCTACTTTGTCTGTCTGGTGAGTACTCTCTCCGCCCAAAAGCCTTTTTCTCACTTTATAACGGGCCACCTCTTCGGTCCGCCTCTTAACCTCAGCGTGGACGTCATCAAAGCGCTTCCGGAGGCTTGACAACAGCTGTTCCACCTTAACTACTGGCTGTGACTGCTCCGCCTGTGAACAATACGTATGAGAACCGAGGGAAAGTCAAAAACATGGTGACTTCTCACATTGCTGCTGTGCAGGTCCCTTGAATCCCCCAAATCTTAACATCCTCAATGCATTACAAGGAGGAGGGACGCGCTCTTCCTCCAACGTTTTTCCTACCCATATCTAGCACTTCCTTGAGCGCAGACTGTTACTCGAAAACTTTAGCTCTGACCCACATGATAGCTTTGTATCGTTTGATTTACTGCCTTTGTAAAAGAATTCAGTTCCTGTAGGCCTGCTGTTTCCGCCTTTGCGACTTTTGGGTGCCTCTTGTAGATATCTGCTTCTTTGGCACCCGCGGCGCACGTAGATGCTAACTCATTCGGCTCGGCGGGAAGTGAATGTTCATGGGCTTCAGCTTTGGCTAACTGAGGCAAAAGTAAAATACTGTGTTAGTCAGTTCGTTGGCACGAACACCCATGTTTGGCGCTCACTATAGGAGACCATCGAAGGGCCATTACTTGCTACTTTATGAGCTTGTCCGGTTCGAGTTGCAGGTAAAGCAAGAGGCAGTTAAAAACACAAGAGTTTTTGGTGTGAAGCGCTATCGTGAAACGCGTCCTACTATCATATTAGTAAGCTTGCCTTGTTCTTTTCTAAGATGCCAATTTCATCAGCCTGCGTGGCGGCGCAGTCACTCAGCTTGGCTATTCTATAGTTTCCCTGGCTTGTAGTGTCCCCTTCGGGCTTTCTGTATCTTGTATCGAACATTCCTGGGGGCGTTGGGGACACGCAAAGGCTTTTCCCGCTTCTTGTCTGAATTGAATACCTGACTATAGCCTGACGTTAAAGTACGGATACAAGAACATCCCCTAAAATTTTTGGCTCGTAAAATACTGAAAGCAGTGGCTTACTTGGAAAAAAGAGAGCACAGCTTGTATTGTTGTGCCGCAAGCCAACTCGGTGACGCTCGTTAGCTCAAATGAGTAGCTAGGAATCGATGCGAAATTAGATATGTAACGTCGCGAAGCTCCACCATAAAGTGGCCGGGAAATTAAAAAGTACGTACACTTGGCGAAATCCAGTGGGATGTGTGCATAAATACACCTTTATTTCCCCGCAATAGCACCATTTAAAGTGACGATCTCAAGCCCCTTGGGCAAAGGACCAGTGCAGCGCATTCCTACCCCTTTTTACAGTACGTGTGTTCTTCTTCGGTTTTTACGGTCATGGCAGCATTAATTAAGAACATTTCACGTCTGCAAAGGCAAAAATAAGACTTTTCAGCCCGTTGACCATACCACGCAACGGGGCTTGTTGGGGAGCTCCATTCCTCAAGGACCCTCGTCGGTCAGCTCTGCATTTTTGGCGCTGCAGAACAACAAAAATTCTTTGCGTGAAGCTATATGCAGCTAAATGCCGATATGTACCATTGGTAAATTGCAAGAAATTGTCCATTTTTGCTGCAGAGTATGCCTCTTCACCCGACAAGTAGCAACGAAACTGGATGGTTCGATCCATAGTAGACACAAGCGCTGCATGAGCATTGCTGGGTGAGCATTGTTTATTGTGCTTACATGAGAATTCTTTCATTCTCTCACAGAGCTAGAGTGAGCATAGCAGAGTTGCGGTAATGACGCCAAATGTTTATGGCGGGAAGCATTAGTCGTGAGGCTCCATGGTTTCCCTTATTTGGGGAGGTTTCGTTTTCGTAGAACTTGTATCGGGCCTTAAAATGTACTCCTTCATGGCACTGAACCTGCTTTGGATTGTACAGTGTATAAGCCGTCCACAAAATGTCAGTACAGTACAAGATGAACTCTGTGCTCGAAGATGTTTCTCTGCAGCATATTGTGTGTAAACGAAGTACAAATGCTTAAATGTGCAGTACAAAACTCTAAACCGTTAATGTAGAATTACTCGCATAGAAACCCTTAAGTAAGAGGAACTGCATTTACTATGGCGTTTCTATGTGATTTGGGTCCAGTTCAGAGGGCTCGATGATCCCTAAGGCCCTAAACTCCCCTTAGCTGGCCTGCTGCAGGGGAGTTTCTCGCATTGATAGCTGCTAGATACGATGCACTTCCAAAATACGGGCACAGTTTGGTAAACAGGAGACGTTGCTGCCTTCGTGAGGTCAGTATAAGTAAGCCTGACTCTACAAAGGGAAACATTGTGTCCCTCCGGAAATTTTTTATTATTATTAATTTGGTAGTTTCCCTCTGCAGAACAAGGGAAGCAATTAG